GAAGAGGAGGAAAGGAGGCCTAGATGAGAACTGTCTTGATCAGGTAAGGATCAATGTGCGTTGTGTAAGAAATTTGGTCATTGGAAAGGAGAATGTCCAAGAAACAAGGAAAAGAGGCGAAGCCACCAAACAGGAAGAATAGTAGTCCATGTGAAAAAGGATTGACAGAGACCTGGAGAATCTACCCTAGCACACCCACTGGTTATAATGAGGCTAGGGAAGGAACACCAAGAAGTAGAATTTTTGGTTGACACAGGGACAACATACTTGGTTTTAAATCAAGCCTTAATGCCCCTGGGAAATGACTATACCATGGTAAAAGGAGCGACTGGCCAAAGTGAAAAGGCATATTTTTGTAAGCCTTTGAAGTATAAATTGGAAAAACAATGGAGTATCCACAAATTCCTGTATATACCCAACACCCCAAGGCCACTTTTGGGAAGAGATTTGTTGGAACAACTGGGTGCAAAAATTACATTTGAAAAAGGAGAAATTACTCTGGAAGTAAAAGATCAGCAATATATCCAGATACTGAGTCTATTCTTAACCAGTCTTCCCGCAGAAGGAAAGATAAGGAAGGAATTCAGCCAGTGATTGAAAAATCTTTATAAATAGGATTACTGAAAAAGTGTGAGTCTAATTTCAACACCCCTATATTACCTGTTCGTAAGCCTGATGGGTCATATAGTATAGTCCGGGATCTATGGGCCGTAAATAAAATAACTGAGGACCTTTACCCTGTAGTAGCAAATCCATATACCCTGTTGACTGTACTAACACCTGAACTAAATTGGTTTACTGTTTTAGATCTGAAGGATGCCTTCTTTTGCCTCCCTCTCCATGAAGCCAGCCAAAAATTATTTGCATTCGAATGGGAAAACCCCAAAAGTGGTCGCAAGACTCAGCTCACTTGGACGGTGTTGCCACAAGGATTTAAGAACAGTCCTACCATCTTTGGCAATCAGCTCGCAAAAGACTTGGAATCTTGGGAAATACCATCTGGAGAAGGGAAACTGTTACAATATGTAGATGATATCCTGATCACCACCAAAACAGAGGACGATTGTATGATCTGGATGGTGAGTCTACTAAATTTTTTGGGGCTTCAAGGGTACCGGGTGTCTAAGAAGAAGGCCCAAATAATGCAGCAGAAAGTGATTTAGTTGGGCTACAAAATCAGTGCTGGACAGAGAACTTTGGGACAGGCCCACAAAGAAACAATATGCCAACTCCGAGACCTCAGACAGTAAAAGAGTTACGAACTTTCCTGAGAATGACTGGGTGGTGCTGGCTGTGGATATATAACTATGGACTGCTTGTTAAACCATTGTATGCATTAACAACCACTGAACAGAAATACCTTAAATGGGGCAAAGAGACCACACGAGCCTTTGAGCTACTAAAGAAAACTTTGATGTCGGCTCTGACCTTAGAGCTCCCAGATGTGAGTAAACCATTTTTTTCTCCTTTCCCATGAGAAACAAGGAATTGCTCTGGGAATATTCACACAAGGTCTGGGCCCCTATCGACAAGCAGTTGCCTACTTTTCCAAACAGTTAGACACAACTGCGAAGGGTTGGCCTGGATACTTGAGAACAATTACAGCTGTAATATTGAATATACAAGAAACCCAAAAATTTACTCTGGGCCAGAAGATGACTGTTTTAGTGTCTCACACAGTGTTCGCAGTGCTGGAAGCGAAGGGTGAGCACTGCAAAGATTCCTTAGATATCAGGCTATACTGGTAGAACAGGAGGATGTGGAGATTGTAGTTACTAACATTGTCAACCCAGCTTCTTTCCTAGTAGAAACACGGGAGAACCCATGCATCATGACTGGAGACTATTGAAACAATGTACGCAAGCCGACCAGATCTAAAAGACAGCCCTATGGGAAACAGCGAAAACTGGTTCACAGATGGAAGCAGCTATGTCCTGAGTGATAAAAGACATGTGAGATATGCCATTACCACTAGTCAAGAAATAATAGACCTTTGCCCATAAATACCTCTGCACAGAAGGCAGAACTAATTGCTCTGACCCGAGCCTTGGAACTGGCTCAAAGCAAAGTTGTGAATATTTACACAGACTCAGGATATGCCTTTGGAGTTGTGCACGCGCACAGAACAATCTAGAAAGAAAGACGGTTATTGAGCTCTCAAGGGAAAACTATTAA